GAGGGGAGGGAGGGGAGTGGGATGGAGGGAAGGGGGGGAACCGCGTGGGTGGCAAGCAGGGGAGAGGGCAGGAAGGGCGAGAAAGTGGACGCATCTCTGAGACCCAGCAGCTACACAACAGGCGTCGTGGCGGGCGGTCATTACGGGCCGAAGCTGACGCAGAAAACCAGGACGCAAATGGAGAAAGCCAGAGGGACTTGGACGCGTGCTCCAGGCGCCGCCAAAAGAAACCGCACCGCAAGCGTCAGGATCCGCCTGTCGGAAACACGGAGCCCATACCCTTGACGCCATTGGCGATCAAGCCGCAGGCATGGGAAATCAATTTTCCACCAGGCCAGGCGGGTTTCGAGATCTCTCCTGTCCTCCACCGGTTCCAGAAGTACGGGCGAACGGAAGGAAGAGGAGGGCAGAAATAATGTAAATTAACCAAAGTAGATCCGAAAGACGACTACAAAATGGAAATACCCCAAAGCATTTGCGCATATATTTTTAGGGCTACAAGTGTGCGTGCTTTAATGTGCATTCATGCGCTTGGCTGACTTTGCTGAGTTTGCCTCTCCTCCGCATCCTCCAGGGAGTAGTCCCAGTCTCCCTCCGCCCACACGAACTTCTCCGGCAACCCGCACTCCTTGAAAAAAACCTCCAAAGATCGTTGCACCAGGTTCCGGCAGTCACCCCCTGTAGTTCGGAGCTCCAGTGATACCTCTTGAAAGCGCCCGTCTTCCTTGGTCTTGAGGAAAAACCGGTAGGAATGCAGCCCCGCGCGCGGTGGAGCGGTATCCTTGTCGCGGACATCGTCCAAGAACGCTTGAAAGCGACTGAAGGATTCCTGATTGACGTCTTTCTGTTTTGGGTAATGTGTGAAGAGGTCTGGATGCACCCTCAAGAAAAATTTGCGGAGTGTTTGCTGCAGGAGAGGATGCGCTCCGCCGTCTCCATCGGCCTGATGCCGCCACCGGGGGGCCAACCCTGCACGCTTTCGCCCGCCGCGCTGCCGAGCAGTGGAAATGGCCTGAGAGGTCATTATTGACGGCTGACATGATACTCCCACCCAAGAGAAGGGGAGGGGCAGGCAGGGGCGGGCTCGGAGGCGGCTAGAGGAGGAAAGAGAGGCGCGAAGTTGCGGCAGCGCGTGCATGGCCCGGGCAGTCATTTTGAACGCCTCAGAACCTGGGGGGTGGAATGATGGAGTTGAGTGAATACCGAGGTGTGAGAGTGGTGTCAAGATGTCAGTGTTTCTGATGCCAGGCCGCAAGGTGGTGCACGCGCGAGTATCTTCCTGTCCGGGAGCTCGCCTCCGTCATACAGGTCTCGCGCCCATTGCACATCACTAATTCACCATCACTCACCGGCCCTTTCTCCTATCATCTACAAGTTCACAGTGAACCGACTCACAGGGAGACAATGCAAGCCCTAAGCGCCTCTTCCCGCGGATTTATGCGTGCCACGAGGCGGTTCGTGGCCAAGGTAAGGACAGGGACGGAGCAAGAGCCGCACTACGCACTTGTATTCACAGTCCCCAACCCCTTCATTTTCCCAGGCCCCTGCATCCGCGCCATGCGCCACGTCTCGACAACTATCTGCATCTTGCATGCTACGTCTCAGTCCGGCCTCAAATTTGGCCGCAGCAGCTCGTCGTAGCTTTGCCTCGTCGCCTCCCCCTGGGAACGAGGACTCGCATGACGATTTTAAACCCCAGCGGTCATCCCCCCCGGCAGACTTGGACGGCGCTATCAAGATGATCGCGGAGCAAGTGAAGAAACACCAAATTATGCTGTACATGAAAGGCACGCCGGCTCGGCCCCAGTGTGGGTTCTCTGCGCAGGCCGTCCGCATTTTGCACGCTTCTGGAGTTGACTTCGACTCGGTGAACGTACTGGACTATCCCATGATCCGCGAGGGCGTCAAAAAGTATTCGTAAGTCACTTTAGAGCTTGTGTCTTCCAAAATTTAATGTGTGAGGCCTGATCCTTGGCTTGCTCGCTTTCTTCCCGGGTGGATGCTCCCTTCCCTGTCTGACCCTGTGGGTCCGGTGGGCGTTTCTCCTCCGACACCCGGGCCGTGAAAGGCCGTGAACGCCTCACTCACATCCCTTTACGTCCTTGGATCGGACTTGCCCGTTCCTTTTCCTTCTCTCAGGGAGTGGCCGACAGTGCCGCAGCTCTTCGTGGGAGGGGAGTTCGTCGGGGGGTGTGACATCATGACCTCCCTCTTTCAGTCCGGAGAGCTGGCCCAGATACTCGAGGAGTCGGCCAAGAAACAGCAGAAAGAGGGGGAGTCTGCGCCATGATGCGGAAAGGCCAGGGAGGAGGGCGGGGAAGGAGAAGGGATGGCGGGGGCCGTGGAGTGACTGGGCTTTCGGTAGCCGGGGTGTACACAACGACGGGGGGTGCACGCGCCATGTGGGTGAGAGGGGCGACGTTGTGGAAGGCATGGGGGCGAGGGAAGAAAAGCAAAGAAGCAAAAAGAAGGGCGTGTGGGCGTGAGCCGGCTCTCTGCGCGCGGGCTCTGTCCGAGAGGGCCCCTTCGGCGTGGCTGCGTGCTTGTGTCTTCCTCTTCACAGTGATGCTTCTGCTTCTCCCCATCTTCCTTCTTTACACTGCCTTGCCTCCCTTTCTGCCCGCCCTCGCATCCCACATTCCCTCCCCGTACCTCTCCTCAGCTCCCCTTCCCCCCCCCTCTTCCTCCCTTGCCTCCAGCACCGACAGCCGCCTCAGCGCCTCCTCCACGCTGGGCACCACCCTGAAGCTCTCGGCGGGCTCGCGGACGACGGGGCAGAGGGACTGAGGCAGGTAGCGCCCGTGTGCCTCCCAGAACCTCTCCCGGGCCGCCGCCTCCTCCTCCTCCCGCGACCGGAGACCAGCCTCCACCTCCTTCACGACCTCGGCAGTCTCCCGGAGCACCCGCCGCCGACGCTCCAGCTCGGGCCGCAACTGGGCGTAGGCGAGGGCAAAGCGCGAGTAGAAGGCCGCCAGCGACTCGACCTCGCGCGCCGAGCTCTGCGCCTCCGCCCTCAGGGAGGCAAAGCGGGCCTGGTCCTCCTCCAGCCCCTCCACCAGCCCGTGGGACTCGCGCGCGGCCTCAGCCATCTCCCCCGCGACGAGCTCACGGAGGGCGCGACGGAGGGCGTGAAGGAGGGCGGGCACCTCCTCCTCCATCTGCCTGCGCCAGGCCCTCATTCGAGGCATCCCCGACTGCAGCACTCGCAGGAGCTCTTGCTCCTCCTTGGCGGGCGAGCAGGGCCCAAGCGCCTTCCCATCCTTTGCCCCGCCCTCGGAAGCGGCGTCGGCCCCCTTGCCTCCTCCTTCCCCGCGCCACCGGGCATAGGCGCTGGCCGCCCGCACGAGGGCTGCCTTCATCTCCGCCACCGCCCTGGCCTGGTCTCTCACGTTCTGCGCCAACACTCTCCACAACCACGTCGCCTCCACCCGCTCTTCCTCTCCCTCCTCCTCCACCTCTTCCCCTCCCTCCTCCTCCTCCTCTTCCTCCCCGTCCCTCCCCGGCAGCATCCCCGCCCCCTCGAGCGCGGCCCGAATGGCTTGCTCCAGACAGAGCAGCCGCTCCTCCAAACTCGCCTGAGCGCGGAGTCCCCTCTCCCGCAGGACGCACACCTCCCTCGCGTCGGCCTCCGCCTGAGCTCGCAGGGAGGTGACGGCGCCCTCGTCCAGGAAGTCGAAGAGCGTGTGACCCCTCTCCCCTGCCACCAGCTCCGGGTCCACACGGGTCTGCCGGAGCTGGTCGCAGACGGCTTCGAGGGTCTGGAAGGGCGCGTCGTCCGGGGGAAGGCGCTCGAGTGGCCCGAGGCTGTTGTTAGCGGCCCATACCCAGTGGAGAAGGCGGGCAAGGGCTCGGACTTGGGCGCGCAGGAGGGAGAGACGTTGGAGGAGGCGCCCGGCTGGTGGATATTGTCATGGGTAGGACGGTCAGTCGGTTTGGGGGGTGCGTTTCCTCTCCTGCCTACGTCTAGGCGCGGTCGAGCCTTGCCAGGGCAAACTGGTAGGACATTCACATTTGTCTAATTTTACCTGTCATCGTCATATTCGCTTGTCCTCTTCACCTCTCTACACAGCCAGATGCCGTACCTTCGTGCCGGATTACGTCCAGTAGCTCGCGAGACCGCAAGAGAGACGACCGGGCTTCAGTGAGACACATGTCGCCGTCCTGCAGCAAGGTGAGCAGGTCCTCCATGCCCAAAAAGGAAGCCAGCTCCTCTGCTTTCTCTGTTTTGTAAAAATTTGTCTCGCTGTGGCTTCGACTGCATCAGACTTTGATAAGGTCCAGGAGTAAAAAAGCATGGGAGAGGAGTAGAGGGCCCCGGAGGCCTCTTGAAGACATGGGAGCTGATAAACGAGACGAAAAAAATATCAGCTGCGTGCGCCGAGCAGTAATTGCCCCGACAGAATAGGCTTCTGCAGAAAAATTAGTTGTCGTCATCGTCAGTAATTCTTTTTTGCGGTTGTTACGTCTTGTGGAGGGAGCGGACGAGGCCTTGTCTCTGGGCACTTGAGCTGTCGCCCTCGTCTCCCCTCCCCGGTGGCACGCCGTCGGACACGGAGAACCTGTGTCATATTCTACACGCCTCGGACATGAAATTATCCAGCGATTTGAGCCGCTTTGAAACATATATTTTCTTCATTGTTCAGGTCGCTGTATTTAATTTTGCCCATGTCCCCGGCGTCGTCAGCTACGGCGCCACCAGTAAAGCCACCGCTGCCGCCTGAGATCGAGGACTTACACGCCTCAGCGGTGGCGCAGGGCCAGGAGACCTACACGGACCCCGCCACTGGCTACATGGTCATGACTGCGCTCTATCACAGGTATGTCGACGAGCATGGGGACTCTCTTCCTTTTTTCTCCTCACTGTCATTGACGTTTGGGGGGCAAAACTCGATATTCCACCACGCACGCGCATAGGCGACGCGGCCACTGTTGCGGTAACGTTTGTCGGCATTGCCCGTACGACTCAGTCAATGTGGGGAAAAAGAAGGTAGACTGGGTGATGAGCGACGGCAGCAAATATACAGCCAAGAAGGCCGCCGCCTTAAGGAGGGCTGCGAAAGACCACGGGGCCAGCCCGTCGGCCGGAGAGGGCGATGACCACGGAGGCCACGGCGGGGGGCAGGAAAATAGCGGCTCCGACCATAATTCAACAGTCCAAGTCCTCACCACGGAACTTGTTAAGGGCAGTGCAACTGCGAAGATGGGTCAAGACGATGCCGAAGGCATGGCAAATGTTGCGAATCCGCGCGAGACAGGGGTCTTCGCCGTCAGACCAGCTGTTGTTACATCCGCTCTACCAGGTGAGTGCTTAATGACATCTCAGCATGCAAAGAATTGTATAGGGCTGATGAATGCCATCATATGCTGAAAGGTACAGGACCGTTACCGGGCGCAAGCGGAGGCTGTGTCCTGGCAAGCCTTTTGATCATGCGGCCAGGGCAACGGCTCATCGACAAAAGTGAACTGCGAGCTGTCGCGCTACCAGCAAAATCACCAAGCATGCCTTTTCTCCAGTCTGCTTTGCGGAGCTGCTGGCTGCAACGTGCTTTCCGGTAGGTCAACAGGTGCACATGAGAGACAAGCCGATACAGCAGTCTCAAGGGACCTTTTCCCTCCTTCAACAATAGGCCGTTCATCGCTCCAAGTCGATGGTCAGGATCTTTTGGGAGCTTCGTGCTTGCATACATCACGTTGAGCGACCAAATAAATAAATGCCATAATTGAAGTCATGGCGGTCAGGGGCTGACAATTGGAAAGACTGATGAATCAAAGAACGGCTCGGATCGGGGTTAGACAACGGGGATTGTTTTCTCTCATTGCTTTCGTCATCATCGCCGACGAGAGGGAGGGTGGGGTCGCATTCCATCACATTTCCCCATCATCGGGATCGCTGACACGACGAGAAGGAAGGTCCAAACGTTCCAGACCTTTCTACGAGAAGGTTCTGAGTGCGTCGGCGGCGTAGCGAATTTATTTGTGGGAAATATCTCGTATGACAGCTTCCGTTTTCGCGTGCAAACATAAAATGTGCATGGATGGATTGCCAACTTGTTTGCCATATTAACCGCCACACCACGTGCACGGACGGAAGATTTTTGGTCATCACTCAGTCATGTCTTTGAGAAGAACATCCCGATTCTATGGCTCTGACGAGACATTTTCCGTGAGGTTCATCATCCTTTCCTTTTTCAAGCAGTCGATTTCGGATAGATGAACTATGTGTGCGGCAGGTACTGGATAGATTGGTCCTTTGTACAGCAGAAGCGACCCTACGGGAAAGTTTGTCGGGGCTTGCTCACATTGAGACAGCATCTTTGCTGAGTGGCTGGGACGAGATGGAACATACTTGCCTGTTGCTCCTGCCCGCGAACTTTGTCAGAGATTTCGGGCGTGGACTAGTTGGTGTCAGAGACGATATGGACACGGCGTGATAGCGCTGCGAATTGTTTCAGGGGTTGTGAAAGATGTGAGGCACATGTGCTCCAGCACGGCGGCAGCGCAGACGGATCTGTCGAAGAACGTTTCCACGATTTCCACCGTGAGATAACCTCTTTTCGTACTTGTTCACTGATACATTCACAGCAAGCAACTTAGAAACAAATCTAGAGCATGGCATCCGCAGTGGAAGGCGAATCCGTGGGCATCGACCTGGGCACTACTTACTCCTGCGTAGGAGTCTGGCAGAACGACCGCGTGGAAATTATCGGTACGTAGCGATACGTCTGAGGACACACTGAGTGAAATGGCACATCACAGAAACGCATTCAGTTTGATATCGATGTGTATCTGACTGGCTTTATGCGAGATGAGTGGCACGGCCTCACCCCCTGCGCTTTCCTCTCCGCATGCAGCCAATGATCAGGGAAACCGCACAACCCCCTCCTACGTGGCTTTCACGGAGTCCGAGCGCCTGATCGGCGACGCTGCCAAGAATCAGGTGGCAATGAACGCCTCCAACACTGTCTTCGACGCCAAGCGCCTGATCGGGCGCCGGTTCTCGGACCCGGTGGTCCAGGCGGACATGAAGCACTGGCCCTTCACGGTCGTGCAGGGCCCCGGGGGCAAGCCGCTCATCCAGGTCACCTTCAAGGGCGAGTCCAAGACCTTCGCGCCGGAAGAGATCTCCTCCATGGTCCTGATCAAAATGCGTGAGATCGCCGAGGCCTACCTGGGTAAGGGCCGGGGCCGTTTGGGGGGAGAAAGGAGGGGCAGAGGCGACAGGCGATCTCACGCGTACTTTCCGGCACTGCACACTCAGGCAAGGAGGTGAAAAACGCCGTCATTACCGTCCCCGCCTACTTCAACGACTCGCAGCGACAGGCAACCAAGGACGCCGGTACGTAACCTCCCCCCCCTCCCGTCTCTTGAGCCAGGCCGCTGCACTCTCGGACCCTGACGTCGTTCCTTCTCTTTCCGCAGGCGCGATTGCCGGACTGAACGTGCTCCGCATCATCAATGAGCCCACCGCCGCCGCCATCGCCTATGGCCTGGACAAGAAGGGCGCGGAGAAGACGGTCCTCATTTTCGACTTGGGAGGAGGTAGGCCGCCCTCACGTCTCGCCCTCCATCCCTCCCCTCCCTCTTTTCCTCCTTTGTGCGCCTCCGCTCCTCGGCTGCTGGCTTCTGACCGGTTTTATTCCCACACTCCCTTTCCTCCCCGTCCAAACCCCCCCTCCCCCTCCAGGCACCTTCGACGTGTCCCTCCTGACGATCGAGGAGGGCATCTTCGAGGTGAAGGCCACGGCGGGCGACACGCACCTGGGTGGGGAGGACTTCGACAACCGGATGGTGGAGTACTGCACGGCTGAGTTCAAGAAGAAGCACCGAAAGGACATCACCAGCAACCAGGTGCGGGGAGTGATGGGGAGGGAAGGGGGGGAGGTGGAGGGATGGTTGGCAAGTGGCAACGGGAAGACAAAGTGGCGGGAGTCTCACTGGCGCCCGGACTGTGCCAGAACCGGGAAGTGTCGCTGAGATACGATGCCCCTTTGGACCTCTGACCTCGACCCCATTATGTCCCCCCCTCCCTCCCTCAGCGCGCCCTCCGCCGTCTGCGCACGGCCTGCGAACGCGCCAAGCGCACCCTGTCCTCCTCCACCCAGGCGCACATCGAGATTGACTCTTTGTTCGAGGGCATCGACTTCAACACCACTATCACGCGGGTAAGTAACAGAGGGGGGGGGAGGTTCAAGGGGCTTGTAGACAGGGGAGAGAGGTCGAGCGGAGTTGGCCTCTGTCTAGGTGCAGGGACTCACCGCCAGGCGTGTCGGACCATCCCCAGGCTCGCTTCGAGGATCTGAACATGGACTACTTCCGGAAGTGCATGGAACCCGTGGAAAAGGTTTTGCGCGACGCCAAGATCGCCAAAAGCCAGGTGCGTGGTCGGGGGCAGAGGGAGGGAGGGGAGCGGAAGATGGGCATGAGGGAGGTTGACTAGGATGTTTTGTGCAGTGAAGGCGAGGCGAGGCAGAATATGTTGAAATCCCGGGCAGACAGGGAATCCTCATGTCTCTCTCTGTCTTGCTTCCTCCCTCCCTCGCTCCCTCCTGCGCCTGGCATGCAGGTGGACGAGGTGGTGCTGGTGGGCGGGTCCACGCGCATCCCCAAGGTGCAGACGATGCTCATCGACTTCTTCAACGGGAAGGAGCCCTGCAAGAGCATCAATCCCGACGAGGCCGTCGCCTACGGGGCCACGGTGCAGGCGGCCATCCTGTCGGGGCACAACAAGAGCGAGAAGCTCTCGGACCTCTTGCTCCTGGACGTGACCCCCCTCTCCCTCGGACTGGAGACGGCGGGCGGCGTCATGACCACGCTCATCAAGCGCAACACCACCGTGCCCGCCAAGAAGAGCCAGACCTTCTCCACCTACGCGGACAACCAGCCCGGTGTGCTCATCCAGGTGCGTGTCGCCCCTCCCTGCCCCCGTCCTTCTCCTCGCTGCCTCGGGGGCCCCCTCTGGCCCGCCTCGGTATCTGACGCAGGCGCCTGACTCTCCCCCCTTCTCTCTCGGCCCACTAGGTGTACGAGGGTGAGCGCGCCATGACCAAGGACAACAACCTGCTGGGCAAGTTTAACCTGGACGGGATCCCCCCCATGCCCCGCGGGCAGCCCCAGATCGACGTGACTTTCGATATCGACGCCAACGGCATTTTGAACGTGCACGCGGTGGAGAAGGGAACGGGGAAGGAGAACAAGATCACCATCACCAACGACAAGGGGCGTCTCTCGGCGGACGAGATCGAGCGCATGGTCCAAGAGGCGGAGCGTTACAAGCACGAGGACGAGGTGAACCGGACCCGGATCGAGGCCAAGAACGGTCTGGAGAACTACGCCTTCTCCATCCGCAACACCATCAGCGAACCCCAGATGGCGGAGAAGATGTCAGCCTCAGACAAGGAGACCGTAGAGGTGAGCGCCCAGGGACCGCGGAGAGCACGGGAGGAGGCATGTGCCGAGTGAGAGAGGGGTGTCCTCATACGCGTTCTTTTTCTCCCATTCGCGAACCACAGAACAAGATCAAGGAGGTCACCGAATGGCTGGACACACACCAGTCGGCCGAGAAGGAGGAGTTCGAGGCCAAGCAGAAGGAGCTCGAGGGTGTTGTGCTACCCATCCTGCAGTCGCTCTCAGGGGGCGCCGGAGGGATGCCAGGAGGGATGCCCGGTGGGATGCCCGGTGGGATGCCCGGGGGGATGCCTGGGGGGATGCCTGACATGGGAGCGGGAGGAGCAGGGGCAGGGCCTTCACCGGCGGCGGACGAGGGGCCCAAGATCGAAGAAATTGATTAAGACATGTGGGGGGGTGATAGCTGGGTTGGGGTCGGAGTGCAGGGAGGAGAGACAGGAGTCGGTTTACAGCTGGTGAATGGCTCTCTTGCCGGAAATGCGCCTGGAAATGGAAAGTTTAATTTTGTTGGCGGGTCATCGAGTTGTGATATCTTGCATAGGGGGAAGACTGGTGGAGGTTGCCTCTCTGGGGAGGGAAAAGGAGTGAGTGATGTCATGGAACGTAGCCTTTTGGAATGGAAGGGATACTTAGTTGTGCTAAAGGCGAAAGATGGAATTAAAAAGGGCGACGAAAGATCCCCACGATTCTGTGTGAAGCCCATCGAAAGACCGATATGCAGTTGGTTTATTTCACCCATGTACACGCGTCTTGCCCGTCAGTAGCACAGATGGGAATTCGAACCAAGTAAGGCGGAGAAACGGGGGAAGGCACGTACAAAAGCCAAGACAGGACACGCACACGTACAAAATAGGCCTGAAAGTCAACAGATATTTCCCCTCTCGCTCTGCTTTCATTCCTTCCGCTCCATCTCTCATCCTCTGCGAGGAGGCCGTGCTTTGCTCCTCCCAAAGAGCCAAGAAAAAAATCTGTGGAATACGACAGACTCTTGATGCGCTCTTGTGGTGAGAAGAATGCGACGCTCGCCTGCATAAGCCCTACAGCCCCTCATGGTGGTGTTTAAATTGGAAAGAAGGGCGCAGAGAGGACGGCCAAGCGGGCGTGACGGCATGCCAGTCCTGGCCGCTCGCTCATTATTTCAATCGTGTAACGTGTTCCTGCTTGGGCAAAACGCAAGGCAAAAGACTCCCGGAGGCCTCTTCTTACAAAAAGCTTTCTTTCGTTAGCGTGGTGAGGCCTTTGGAGGCATGTCCTCTTTTCACGCGTCCACATGCCGGAATCGTGTTTCAATCGCTAGCCGTCGTTAGCTGTGGAAGGCTGGCTAACTGGAAACCTCTGCGCATGCCTACGTCTCGAGGTCCCATAAGGGTAGGAAACGTAGACGCCGCGAAAAATGCGGCATTCAGGGTTCCACCGTGTCTAAAAGATCTTCACTTAGTGGGAGATACCCCACGGTGAGCCTGTTGTGAGGGATCAAGGGTATGACTAACTGTGGATGGCCTTTCCCTGCGAAGCTTTCGATCCGACCGAGAGCCCTCTCTAGCATCCTCACGTCCGGAAACCTTGCCCGCATGACTCTATGCCCGTCCGCTCCAATGAGAGCCTGTCTTATTTGTTGGACGTGTCTGTGTCTTGCGTCCTTTGTCCCTTGACACCCATTCCAGCCACAATGTCCTTTGCCTTTGGGCAGCTGGGCCGATCTGCCCACGGCCTTGCCCCCATTTCTCACATCCCTTCACTTCTTACCCCTGCATCTAACATTGTCAGCGACAGCAACGGTGGAGGGAGGATCAACGTTAGGCAGCGGGAGCTGAGGGAGCAACAGAGGCATAAGACATGGCAGGGGCGCTACCCGATCTCCTGGGGCGATACGTGCCCCCGGAGGAGTATACTCACCGGTACTACACGGTCAGGGGGAAGGAGTTCCACCAGGTCTTCCAAGGCTTCCCCGTCCTGGAGCCCTTCTACATGGAATGGGAGAAAAACTACAACGCGGAGAAGGTCTTCTGGTTCATCGTGGACAACGCCTGGATCCCCTGGCTCTCCATCTGCATCTACCTCCTCTTCATCTTCGGCTACCCCTCCCTGGCCAAGCGCTTCGGCATCCCCTACATATCCGCACGCACGCAAATGGCATCTTGGAACTTGTTTCTGGCGGCGTTCAGCTGGTTAGGCGCCATGCGGGTCGTGCCGCACTTCTTCTTCCTCCTGAAGGACGCGGGCTTCGAGCAGGTCCTGTGCGGCGCCCCCGAGCCGCTCTACGGGGACGGCGCCGTGGGCTTCTGGATCCAGGCCTTCGTGCTCTCCAAGGTGGCCGAGCTCCTCGACACCGTCTTCGTGGTGCTCCGGCAGAAGGACCCGATCTTCTTGCACTGGTGCGTGGGCGGGAGGGAGGGCGGGAGTCAGGT